CGTACGAAGGGAGACAGACAGCATTACAAGCAATACTGTAGGGAGAAAACTTTTTGGTCAGAAAACTGTGTCCAGGATTGATATACATCATTATGATATGTCAAAATACTGTAATTCTTGAGATATCTGATAAATCAGCCTGTTTTTTTTTTTCTTGTTAAATTTACTTGAAAATTGAATACATGTATCTTTTTTTGTTCAGTAGTAATGATTTTTTTGGAAATTATTTTTTTTTGCGTTTTTCGTATATACAATCATGTGCCGATATAATTGGTTGACATTTTTAGATCACCTGAACTGGAAGTTCAAGTGAGCTTTCCTGATCACATTTTGTCTGACCGTCCCTCTGTCTGTAAACTTTTTACAATTTTAGCTTCTTCTCAAGAACTACTGGATCAATTTCAACCAAACTTGCTACAGAGCATAAGTGGATAAAGGGGATTCAAATTTGTTCAAATGAAGGGCCAGGCCCTTTTTCAAAGGAAGAAATTAAGAATTAGTGAAAATTTATTGACATCTTTTAAAAATCTTCTTAAACACCACTGTGTCAGAAATGATGGAACTAATATGTGAAAGCTTCATTATGAGGTGTAGATTCAGTTTTATTCAGATCATGTCCCTCGGGGGAAGGGTGGGGCTGCAATAGGTGATCATTTTTTTAAAGAATATTTAGAAAAAAAATTCTTCATTTTTTTTTTCAGTAAGTGCTGGGTCAGAAGAGATGATACTTATGTGAAACCTTCATTACATAGCGTTCGATCAATTTTGCGTAGCTGGCACGAAAAAAATCCCTCACTGGTCAATGACCATGAGTGCCAAGTATAGGTCTAAATTTGCAGCCCTCCGCCGGCAAGTGGTGACGTCTACGAATGAAAAATTCTCGACATGGACATTATAACAACAAACAAAAACAAAATCATTTTTGTTCAAATTATGACCCTAGGGATAGGGTGGAATCACAATGGTTGATTAAAGTCTTGCATAAGAATATATACAGAAAATCTTTAAAAATCTCACAAACCAGACAAATGTAGCACCGGCGCACCCCCCCCCCCCCCCTTCGCCCCGTGGTTGATTTTTTGTATGCTATGGTAAATCCTGTTTGTTTAACTTGTATATACTATCAATTTAGTCCACAGATAAAATTTCATAATTAAATAATTTACTTAACATATACAGTAACATGTTCCGATGGACGACAATATGCGCAGTGAGGGTAGGTACACATTGTCGCCGGCGACAATATGAACAAGACGACAAAATATACCGTCACAATCACGCTGCATGAAATAGCATACGAGACACGTTAGTGGGATATACATCCCGATTACATTCACAAAACTACCAAAAACAACATAAGAAGTCTTAAAGCAACAATATCTGAGGGGCGACAATATGTATAGTGAGGGTGAGGCACATAATGTCGCCAGCGACAATATGTACATGTGTTACTTTCCAGCCGGCGACAATATGTACCGATGGAAGACAATATGTGCAGTGAGGGTAGGTACATATTGTCGCCGACGACAATATGTACAAAACGACAATATGTACCGTCACAACTCTTACTACACATATTGTGATGCTGATGATGATAACAATGATGATAATGATTTAATCAGGAAAGTTAAGAAGGCTAGGTTGCAATTTCAGACAAATTGTAAGTATATGTACAGAGATCTTTAGTTTGAAATATTTATATAAATTGTCTCCTTATATTAATTTAACTCTTTTAAAAATACACTGATATCCAGTGCACTAGAGGTTTTAACAAACTTTCCTTAACTTTTATAGAAGCAGGTTGGAAGAGAAAACTTTTAAAAAATTTTGGACCCCAACCCAATTATATCGGTATATGTATATGAATAACACAAAAATATTATCCAGATAATCATAAATACTTAACACAAAAGTAGCATCCAATCTCAAAATAAATATAATGAAAAAAAAAAGAATAAGCGGATTTATGAGTTAAATCAAAGGTTCCGGTATCTTGGGAGATCATAATTGTGTACACTGATCCTGAACACATTTTTTTTTACCGAAGAAGTTTTCTTCCAACCTACAGTATTGACGCATTACTATCTGTCTGTCTGTCTCCCTATGTGTTCGTGTGTGTATGTTTGTAACTCTTTCTCTCACTCTCTCTCTCTCCATGACCCTAGAAAATATTCGTCAAAACAATATATCGGCGTCAAAATGCGCAAAAGTTCACAGTACATACTGTCGCTGACGACAATATGTGCCGATGAATGACTGTACATTTTGTCGTCCATTATGCAGGAGGAAAAAAAGGCTTGTCTTTGGACATGTTGTCGGCGACAATATGAACACCGATGGACAATAATCTGTGCAGTGAGGGTAGGTACATGTTGTAGCCGACGACAATACGTACAGTGAGGGTAGGTACATTTTGTAGCCGACGACAATATGTACAGTGAGGGTAGCTACATTTTGTAGCCGACGACAATGTATACAGTGAGGGTAAGTACATTTTGTAGCCGACGACAATATGTACAGTGAGGGTAGGTACATTTTGTAGCTGACGACAATGTTTACAGTGAGGGTAGGTACATTTTGTAGCCGACGACAATATGTACAGAACCACAATATATACCGACACACACCTATCTCGGTCATTAAGAACAAACATTCTGCATACTAAAGTGCAATATTCAAATTAAAACATCAAAGGACTCGATGTAAAGCAGCTACAAAATTCTGCTTTTAAGAAATATCAGATAGTCCATTGTTGACTTTGACCTCCACATATCAATAATTAAAACCTCATTACTAAAATTAATTTCCGAACAATTCAATAATTCCAAGTTATACAATTTTAGTTATGTCTCTTATTTTTCATTTTTAGATAACATTAATGAAAGTCCTCCACCAGCAGTAGAAGTTGTGATCTAAAAATAATTGTATGCATGGAGACATGCAGTTTTAGAGCATCACAGACATGACAGATTTACATTGTAATTAAGGAAATGAACCTGTTACTGATTCAATTTTTTTGCATTCATACAAGATGGCTAATTATTTAAAACAAATGCTCAATCAATAAGAACAGTACATGTTTATCTTTTTTTTCTCGACTGACTTTCCATTGTATTGAATTTAATGGAAAAATGTTCATTACTCAATACGTTTTGGCAGTAATTTGTTTCACACTCTGTATTACATGTAATAGTCCTTCTAGCCTTTTCCCCAGTATATGCAGTTATGTTTTACACCTTGCATTTTACACATTAAAGGTAATTGTTATACCCCTACTAAACAGTCCTTATATAATTTCTTACTTTGAAAAGTCCAACAGATTGACTGTTTTCCCCGATTGTCGGTCCAGGAACAGTTAAAATAGACTGTTAAAAAAGACTGTTGTCCGCTGACGTCAAATGGCACTAAATGGAGTTATCTTTTCCTCATTCGGCAAACCTCGGCTGTTTCTGGTAATCGTGAGCTAAATGTAATCAGCCGAGAAGTGCCGAGTAATTTAGACCTGTCATTAAGATAAACAGAAGTTTTGCTGCGGCGAACGAGGATGAAATCCAGGCGATACTTGAAAGTAGGGACAGTAAAAATAAGAAAAATATTGAGAAAACGGCATAAAATTATACTCTCGAATATCTGGTGACTCTGTTTTTATTTTCTGTTAAATCTATGAATTTGATTTAGTAGGAGTATAACAAAACAGTTGTTGACAGGAGTCCCGGGAAACAGTCGATCTGTTGGACGGGATTGCAAGCTGTTGTCCGCGGCCTACGGCCTTGGGCAACAGCTTGCACTCCCGTCCAACAGATCGACTGTTTCCCTCTACCCCAGTCAACAACTGTATACTATTGTAGCAAGAAATATGTACAAACCAACAGCAACACACATTTGTGAGTTAAAATGACAGCTTTTCTGATTCAGCAACCCTGAACAGACGGTTTATTTTACCGGTGACTTCAACCGCACAAGTACACTGCTTCAATCATTAAATAACATCTAGATTACTTCCTGTGATGTGTCATGTTGTACATTTTGAATTTACCGGGTGGCAGTAAATTCACAATTTACATGACAGATGATGGCTGCAATAATGTAGCCTTCTCTGATATTTTTATCTGATGTTTTCAGCAGAGAGCTTCAATTCCACAGAATCTCCGTTGTGGTGCAAAAATATTTTTTGAATACAGGCGACTGCAGGCAAAATAAATTGCTTTCGCATTCAACTCCCTTCAAACAAGATTGATTTTTTTAATTCATCATTAACAACCTAGCCCTTTATACGCTAAAACATGGTAAAATAAAACAGCGTGTTTACCGTTCGTCTTTCTCAACAGTTCTCGATTAATGTACTGAGACTTACGCTTGAAATCTAGAAAGGCTTGCTAAAGTAAATGTTGGTGTTGATAAATACTTGTATTCTATGATATCATAAACATCGATGAATAAACGTATTCCATATGAAATATTTTTTTCACAAACAGCGATATTTATGCTTAAAATAGGGAAATTCCTTAGTAGATCCACTTCCTAGATATTGAATTCTCATTGGCTTTCTCTAAATAAAATTTATCAAGGTCAGTAAACATGGCGGATACATTCAAGTTGTGATGTTTACATACATGTACACGAAAACTAACCTATATATAGATTATTCTGTATATTTTTGTATCAGTTCATTTCTTGCATAACTACATTTTTGAGTTCAGATAACTAATGTTAATAAAATACCCACTTACTGACAATTTAAGACCAAATATAATATGTGCGGGAGCGATTCACTCCCGCACTTGCACCATTACGGAGATCCTGAGAGTTGTAACCCTTTCCTCTCCCTACCCCCCCCCCCCAAAAAAAAGGGGGGAGAGGGCTACATTACTGCAGCTAGACAGTTGAGAGAGGAGAAGTTCTGTGTCCTCATTAATATTGATTATCAAATGTGTGACTTTTCACAATTTCTTAAGTTTAATGGAATCAATAAACGTATGACATTTTTTGAAATACTTTAGCATGGACACAGCTACAGGCCCGAAGGAGAAGAAGAAAGTACTCCCAGGCATCGCGTCAGTGAAACAAGCAAATACGGAGCAGAACGATCCTCACCTGATAGAATAAAAGACCTTGTCTTACTTGAAGAAATGCTGCAGTTGGTTCTGAGAAGTATCAACAGAGAAAATGATATGCGTGTCCAGGAGGAACAACGTACCGATTCCCTGAAACGTGAATGGCAAGAGCTAGCCTGTGTCCTCGATAGACTGTTTCTAGTCATTTTCTTAATAATTTATGCTTGTTTGACAATGTCTGTATATATCTTAGATCAAAATTGATGCCCCCAACCAAAGCGCAAATCAATTAGAAATGCCTCATAGGTTTGCCTGGGTATTTTTAATCTGATTTACACAAAGCAATTTTTTCTTCTCGACTTGCGGCTAAAAAAACTCAGTTATTAATTTTTATGCTAAGTATTCTGCCTGTTTGCGTATGATGGGAATAAACATAGGCTAAACGGTGTCTATCAGGGAATATATTTTTAATGTTACTTTATATTTGTGAAATTTACCCAAAATCACTTTTGTATGATGTTTCTGTAGACATTGACTTGATATTTGATGTTAGGGCGTCATATCCTTTTAAGCTACCCAGGCGCCAAATGTGTTTATTTTTGTTCACTTGTGCATTTTAAAGTAAAGTTTTTCAATTTAATCTGCAAAATTGAATACCATATTTACTTTGATTCAAAATATCAAGTTTGATATCCTTTTAATTCCAGTTATCAGCCTTTTAAGAGTATTTTTTTTCAATAATGTTTGCAAAGGATTAAAATATAAAACTTTTAACAGAATTGAACAGTTGATAAATGAGAGAAAGAGAAGAAATATAGGGAAAGATAAAGAAAGAAAGAAATAGAAGATAGAAAAGAGAGACAAAGAGAGATGATAGTTTTACGCCCCTTGCAAGATTATTTCTCTCATATGAGATGTCACCATATAGTGATTATAACGAGGGCAGAGTCTAATTATTTCTACCCTAGAGATTTTTATAAATTTTCTTGAATTAATTTTTACTGTTATATTTATTGTTTTAAGATTAAAATATCGAATGTTTACCATCCCGATTTCCTAGGGGGCCATCTCAAAAGTTGTCAAATTTTGCTATTGGACCCTATGGGAATTTATTGGAAAAGCGCCAAATTATCACATTTCCCCCATAATTTTTGTATTTCTGCACTAGAGATTTTTTTCAGCCAAGTACATGAAATCTATTGTAAAAGTCACCAAACTGTGAAATTTTTTTTAAAAAATTGACCATCTAGGTTGGTGTAGGAATTATTACAAAATTTTCAATGCCCAATACCTCTAAAATTGGCACATTGCGGTATTTATAAATATATATCGGTGCAGATGAATTATCGGCACAGATGAATTATTTTTGGTAAAAAAATAGCAAAGTTTAGATTTGCTAGTACTTTTCTTTTGATGTTCTGTCAACAGTTTTTAGCATGATATCCATGGACGTCTTGAACATACAAGCGAGTCATGTGTCATTCTTCAGCGTCATGCATTGCTTACAAAATCAGAAAACAGAAACGGCGTTAGAGCCATTTCAGCGTTTTCCCCTAATTATTATCCTAAAAGCATATTTTCAGACTCAAAGGCGTTACAGATAATGCTAATCTTATATTAAAATTACAATATTTTGGAAAGGTATAATGTCGCACATATGACTGCATGAAATTAAAAAGCTGCGCAAAGTCATGCGCACTCGAATTAGACTCGGCCTCTTAAAATCTTAACTGGGCACTGAGGCCATTGAGTAGTGACGGTTCTTTAGCGTGCTCACGCATGGTTGTCTTTCTGGATATATATATATATATATATATATATATATATATATATATATATATATATATATATATATATATATATATATATATATATATATATATATAATCACAACCCGACAAGTTTCTGTTTAATTCATTCTTTCAATTAAAAGAATTTTCTCAAGTTTTCAATATTTTTTCAAAGAATTAAATAGATAAAACCTAATGTAAGATTATTTTTTTGTATCAGGTGTATATAAGATATTTCTAAGGACATATATATTTTACTAACTTAATATACTACTGGAAAAGCGGACCCCCTATTTTCCCCTACGTCGATAATGTTGACGTTTTAATCCTTAGTGCGATACACCGTCACAGTTTTATCATTGCTAAGCCGTCATTTTACTGAGACAGGGTGAGCTACCGTGTTTTAGTATTTTTCGATGAAATGATTAATTCAAGATCTTTATTGTCATATCAGAGATACAATTATGAAAATTTAATATAAAAACTTTTTTTGGGGTTGTTTATTTGTTTCAGAAAAAAAAATTGTTTTTGTTTTTGTTTTTTAATGACATGACCATATTAAACTGTAGTTTGATGAATATTTTTTTTCCATAAAGAGGAATATTTGAAATATACTTGACAAATCTTGTATCAAATTATTACAATCGTGTTGTTTTCTAATTATTATCTTTAACCTGTTTAGAAAGTTATCGCAAAGCTCCCTTTAAAGTATATACAGCACGACTGAAATAGCAATACTTTGAGTGATGACACTCTTGAATTTGACTCACGGATTAAATTCTATAAAAGATGTTAATTGGTCGATTGGTAATTGTCCACTTTCGTGTGATATCTGTGCATAATTAGACCTACGTATAAGAAAGTGTCTTCTCTACCATATGCAAGCGGAATATTGGCTAGTTATAAACATTTCAGATGAAGATCAACTTTCAGTATTTCAAAAGCTCATAAGCTTGTATTTCAACAAGTCATATTATTTTCACATAAAGTACACTTTTAATTATTGTTAATGTCTTTCTAGGTCCCTAATTTTCAAACATATTGTAACTGAATCAGATAAAGCAGATATTTTAGAGTAAATTACTAATGTTTTAAAACTTACATTTCTGACTTTTTAATGGCGTCCATTTTAACAGGTAAGAACTGAAAATTTCAGGTACTATAATTAGTAAAGGAATATTCCTTTATATTTACTTTCATTCTATATAAATGGTGTTGAGGTTTTTTTTTTCTTTTTAATTTCATTTAAGATAATATTCTATTGTAGGATAGAAATCTTAACTGATGAAAATTACAAATTATCAATAACTGAATAATTTTGCTTCTAACCTTAAAAATGAAACAAATGAAGTTTTGGCAAAGACGTGTATATAATACAATGCATTTACACAATAAAGAATGAGTAAGTTGAGTCCTAAAAAACGAGACCTTGTAAACTGATGTTTTACAAAATGCTTATTTGTTTCCATGATATAAGTCACCGATATTTTGACTGTGTATTCTCGATACATTATGAAATTTAAAGAGCTCTACTCAAGGGAATCGATTAGAAATTTAATCTAAGGCATGAGCCCGAAAAATTCTTGAATACCAATAGATAATAGGGGTCACGCTTTTTCAACGTTTAAATTCACAGTCAGAGAATGTTTGTGGAGTGACTGTAGTTGTACATTGAACAAAATAATGTCATATTAAAGTGTTAAGAACCAACAAATATGTGCTCATACTTATATTTTAGAAAAAAAAATGTCAAAACAAACTTGTTGCTTGTCTTGTAACTCGATTGGACCCAGATTGACCTGTTCAAAATTACAATTCACCACGTGGTGACCAGATTTGTGAATACAATTATTCTAACACCTGATCTCAATCTTAATCTTAGACTTTGATCATGGATGCTGATATACATTGTAATTTATTATAAATAAATTATCAAGTGACCATAATCTTTCTTGGTCAAAAATGAATATGAATGCGATTTGAAAATTTTTTAAAGGTTTCATATAATTATTAAAGTTTAGAAGAAATAGTTCTGATATGGGTGATTTAAAGAATTTGCTAGATATATATATATTTTTCTAGTTAACCGTTTTTTGTTCGCTAAACTATTTTAATTGTAACTGGTGACTATAGTTTGTAATTACAGTTCCATGCGACACCTTCTTCAAAAAAAAAAAAAAAAAAAAAAAAAAATCATTATCTTCTTTTTCTTTTGAAGTTAAAGCAACGAAAGATAGATCTAGAATCTACTATACCAGTGGAGTTGACACCATGGAATTCACTCACAACAAGCGAGTTATTCCCAAAATAACGAGGTGTTGATCAAATTTCGAACACGTCATAAGAGACAAAATGTGGACGTGTCAATACGTATTTGTTTTTTGGATATGTGCATGCACCGAAATTTTTACGTTTTGATGAAACTGTTCCTTATCGTGCCAACGCCTACCGTGACACGGGGCCTGGGTTTTTAAGGTCTCATCAGAATGACCCGCAACTTTTACTTCAAAGTGCCGAGTGTTCGAAGGAACAGTTGCTACCTATTTTTTATCGACTTAGGTCAGTCGCGGCCGTGATTCGACCACACGACCTTTCAATCAATGAGCGAGCGCTCTGCTACTGTGACGGTATAAATGTCTTATAAAATCAATGTGCGAAAAAGAAAATCAATTTTAATGTAATAGGCCTAATCATTAACCCTTTCACGTTCGTACCGGTCAAATCTGACCGGCAAGCCTTCTTTTTTCTGACATGTTGCTGAAAAAAATTCGCTTAGAATTATCGGATTAAAAAAATCGGGTATCATTTTAATCGCGAGACTCTGTAGAATTTAATTATATGCAAAACAATTATGAAATGTAAATATTTAATGTCTTAATGAACGATTAACTCTGACATAACTGCAAGGAAAAAAAAACTCCGAAATAAGGATTTTCATTAATGTGCGTTTTCTACAACTTTCCTCGTTGTTGTGAAAAACAAAAGTAAAAAAAAAAAAAAAAATACTTACTACCTTATAATCAGGACACTTTTGTGAAACTATTCATATTTTTTTTTCCACAGATAATATGTAATGAAAGAATTGAAAAATTCCTGGGTTTAATGCAGTGGTCAAACTGGTAGACCCTTATATTGGCGTAAAACATAAACAATCTACTTTCGACAAAAAGTACAAGCGTAGGCCCCTAAAAGGAAAATGTAAATTAAGTTTTGAAAAGTAGAAGAATGTAGCTTTCACTGGTATATTTTTTACAGTTGTCAATTGAATAAATCTTATACATAAGCCACATTGAAAAGCCAATTACAACCGAATTTTCGCGCGGTTTGCGCGAAAGAAAAAAGATAAGCGCTTCCGGCATTGTTGTTGAGAGGTAAACAACTGAACTTCGAACATTCGGCATATAAAATAAAATGGATTATGGCGATTTTCTGTTAGAAAATGAAGAAGATTATCTTGATTTATTGTTGAGTGGAGAAATTCTCGAAGAATAAGAATAAAATGACGAACAGTTTGAAGGATCAAACCCTATCATTTCGGGTAAGCAATATTCAAAGTGAAAATAGATCTTTATACAGTTATACATGTTGTACGCTGGAGAGAAAAAAATTCACTACAGCAAGGAAATACTTTTTACTTTGGACACTTTGAGAGATGATTATATCGGACAATATTTTTGTGATCGAACAGATCGTTTTACTAAAGTTATTTCCACCTAAAAATAGGTACACTCTGAGGGATATTGTTTACTGTCATGTATGGCCTGATAGAATGTGAAAACAGGTGCCTGTTTCACTACACAGCTAAACATTCCGTATAAATACAAGATGTTGTTCTTGAAAAGAAAAGTTAACAACCATACTTGTTTTAACCTATGCACAAATGTTCACAAGGTTGATTAATTTCAAGATGATATAGATT